TTCTTTCATTCTTAAATGCAATCATCATTTCACACACACACACACACACACACACACACACACGCATTCACGTATATATATATATATATATATATATATATATATATATATATATATATATATATATACGTGAATGTGTGTGTGTGTTTTACTTATATATATATACACACACACATATATATATATATATATATATATATATATATATATATATATAACAAATATTTTCTAATAATATTTTCTAATGCATAGCTATTTAATTGGGCCTCGTAAAGATAGCCATTCAACCATATCCCATTTCTGCTCTCTTCTCTCTATCTTTCTCTCTATCTTTCTCTCTATCTTTCTCTATATCTGTCTGTCTCTCAGTCTCTCTCCCTCTCTCTCTTTTTTTTCTCTCTCTAATTGTATTTTTTCGGTTTAAAATCATTCACACAAATATTTTTTTTCTTAAAACTATTTTTTATGCATGGCATTACATTACATACAATGTTCCTCTGCACAGATAAAATGGTTCATTGATTACAAAATATTGCTCTATCTGTCCATGTCTCAAGTTTACCAGCGTTTCTCGTGCCTTGTCTAATATTTCACAATTCTTTGAAATCATCCTCCTAGGAATAATAATAAATAAAATACTCATTTTATTTTTCCTTCAGATAATTACTTGGTTTCTTACATTGGGCAGCAAGTACACACATCTGGACATTCATTCATTCGTTCATTCATTCATTCAGATTTCAAATGGTCTTCTTCTACCCTTCTTTTCCTGGATGGAAAAAGTGGCGATCATATAATCATGAGACGCAATTGTCATTTTAAAATTTAATTATTCTGTTTCTATATTTTATTTTCTGCGTTGTTCTCATTGCTTTGTCAGAAATAGTTTTACTATATCTTGTTGCCTTTAATGATGACTTGGGAAGTTTAAAAATTCAGACGGTCAAAAGAATATAGACTTACACTACACCTAGTAAGAAAGAAGAAATGGAAACTGAATACACACACAAAGGCCGCGGTGTATTCCTTGATGTGCAATGATTGTTTGACTTGTGGGTCTCTAATGTGTCTTGCAATGAAAGGCGAAGGAACGTCAGTAGTATGACATGCCCTAGCCAGTTTAATTCCCACTTTAAAAAATTTACCCACATTTATCTTTGTTAAAATTGATTTGCAGATAAATGAGCCCTATTTCCCGATCTTTACTGGACGTTCTTTGAAGGAAATCTCTGTGATAAAATACTTTAAATATATATGTCTCTTAATTAAACTGCTTACAACAAAAACAATTTTTGATACAAGTATTAATTTTTAAATATTTCCATATTAAGAAAGTAATGATTTAACAATGAACAATAAATTGATGAAAATAGATTAAGTGTTTGTTAGTCCGATCCAATCACTAACAATTCACATGGATGTTAGGGTCGTTAATGTGGAGCAATATAACCATTGTAGCGGTAGGTGTGTCTCGGGTAACTTATCCCAATGAATCCCATCTCTGTTTAAACTGGTTTTGAATTCGGAATTTTCCTTCTTTCCGACTGGGAGTTCTCCCAAGGTTAGAGTGGTCAATCTGTCCTGTTATTTACCCAGTAAATACACACTTCTAGACTGTTTACACTCAGGAAAAGACAGCTTTTCTCTTCTGTTTGACCATAACTGAAGAAAAATTAATACGCGCCTTTGCCAAGGCCATTAGCGGAAAGTGAACAAACATTGCTAATAAAATATACTGAGTATAAATGTCAAAATCTGAGAATTTACTTGATTACTTTCTAAAACTTTGTTTATCCCAATTTTTAATATTATTTATATATTTCTATGACGAGGGTTAGTATATAAAGGACAAAGTCTGTTTTACAATTCAACATCGTTCTTACATTTATCGTATATAAGTGATTATAAGTCGATATTCATTTGAAAACGCTTAAGAATTCAATATCGAAAAATAGATTATGTGAACATTGTTCGAAAATAATTGTTCGAAAACAATTATTTGAAAAACATTTGTTCGAATTGTAAATTGTTTGAATGAAAATTAATCGAAAGGACAGTTATACTAAATGATAATTATTCAAAATTCAAAATTCTTTATTGCAAAAAAAATATAAAACTTAATAGAGGAAATACACAAATGATAATTATTCGAAACACATATATCGTTAATAAAAGAATTTAGTAAGGAAAAATAATTATAATCTTAAGTTATATGATACTGCACGCAAATAGTCAACTACTGAAGAATACTTGTTAAAGGATGCCATTAGTTTTTTAAGTTTTCCATTTACGTCACGGTAATTCTTGGCGCTCTTCATATTTTGGCAACCTGCACTTACTTTTGCAATATGAATTTCTTTTAAGTGCTCTCCACTTTTAACAGCGTCTAAGAATTTCCATATTGTGGGATGAGGAGATGACACTTGCTGCAAAAAATCCTTCAAGGGCGTTATTAGTTCTAGGTAAATCACATTGAATCTCTCAAAGCAAAACCACGTACGTATTTCAAACAAAATTAATTTTCATTCAAACTGTTCGAATAAATGTTTTCGAATAGTTGTTTTCTAATAATTTTCTCGATACGGAAAAATACATCTGATCGTCGGCACCTGTTCACATCCAAGCATCGGGATCGTCACCCTCGGTCTTTATTCCCTTTCTCCTCATATGGTGGCGGTGACAGAGATGGCTGTGAAGGCCCAGCCTAACCCTGAAGAGTTGTGAGCAGGAGTCACAGACGAGTGTGGGTGGGAGAGTCGAGCCTTCCTGACAGCACGTCGTAGATCCTCTTCATGTTGACAGTTGGATTCGAAAGTCTCGGTCCCCCAAACCTCGGAAGGTCACACACCAAGAAGACCAATTTGCAGCAACGGTTTCCCAGGTCTCAAGCTCGATGCTGGCCTCTATCAGGGAAATACATCTGTTACATTGTAGGAGAAATAAGAAAACATGCATGGAAACCTAGTCATGTTTTAATGGTTTACAAATTAATAATTATATTTTACTCTAGGGAATTGGATTGTCTCATACGTGATATTTTTCTAGACCCAAGGTTTCCTTAATAAGTGTATGGATACTGATAAGATCTCATCCCGACACACTTCAACAAATCCGACCTGATGACTAAACATCAAAACTATTTTTTTTCTTTTTTATTCCCTTCTTGGTTTAGCCAAGAAATTTTTCGTAAAATTTAATAAGACCATAGGCATATAAAATGGTAAAATGGACACTAATACCAAAACTTATTGATGCTAACTTTTACATTTATATACTTTTACGTAGAACTGGTAAAAAAAAAACAAAAACTAATTATCACCTGTTTCTTATTCAAACATTTGTAATATGAGATCTGATGAAGTTCACTTTTAATAAATGTAAAAATCAGCTACACAATGGCCGTCCACTTCTTTGCTTATGAATCTGACGTTGGCATTAGGCCATAGCTACTTTCTATATGTGCCGTATCCTTTAAGACGTGGTTGATGGCTCTCCATAACTTCCTCTCCTTTTCTTATAACTCGCTCTGATTGGTTATAATATGATATCTCGCTTAGGATACTCAGCGCGACGTTACTAGAAATTCTTCTCGACTGACTTCAACGGACTGGTATTTACCGGTGTTTTTTCTTTTCAGTCGAATCTCTATCCATAGACAGAACCCTGATTGATTCACTCTACGCCCGAAGACGGAGGACTTGTCTTATCACGATCCTGGAACTGACTGAGACGGACTGGTATTTACCGGTGTATTTACCGGTTTTTTTTTTCAGTCGAATCTCTATCCATAGACAGAACCCTGATTGATTCACTCTACGCCTGAAGACGGAGGACTTGTCTTATCGGGAGCCTGGAACTGACTGAGACGGACTGGTATTTACCGGTGTTTTTTCTTTTCAGTCGAATCTCTATCCATGGAAGACAGAACCTGATTGATTCACTCTACGCCCGAAGACGGAGGACTTGTCTTATCCACGAGCCTGGAACTGACTGAGACGGACTGGTATTTACCGGTGTTTTTCTTTTCAGTCGAATCTCTATCCATAGACAGAACCCTGATTGATTCACTCTACGCCCGAAGACGGAGGACTTGTCTTATCACGAGCCTGGAACTGACTGAGACGGACTGGTATTTACCGGTGTTTTTTCTTTTCAGTCGAATCTCTATCCATAGACAGAACCCTGATTGATTCACTCTACGCCCGAAGACGGAGGACTTGTCTTATCACGAGCCTGGAACTGACTGAGACGGACTGGTATTTACCGGTGTTTTTTCTTTTCAGTCGAATCTCTATCCATAGACAGAACCCTGATTGATTCACTCTACGGAGGACTTGTCTTATCACGAGCCTGGAAGACGGAGGACTGGTATTTTGTTTTCTTCAGTCGAATCTCTATCCATCACGAGCCCATAGACACTTGACTCAGGAGCCTGAACTGACTGAGACGGACTGGATTTACCGGTGTTTTTTCTTTTCAGTCGAATCTCTATCCATAGACAGAACCTGATTGATTCACTCTACGCCCGGAAGACGGAGGACTTGTCTTATCACGAGCCTGGAACTGACTGAGACGGACTGGTATTTACCGGTGTTTTTTCTTTTTCAGTCGAATCTCTATCCATAGACAGAACCCTGATTGATTCACTCTACGCCCGAAGACGGAGGACTTGTCTTATCACGAGCCTGGAACTGACTGAGACGGACTGGTATTTACCGGTGTTTTTTCTTTTCAGTCGAATCTCTATCCATAGACAGAACCCTGATTGATTTCTACGCCCGAAGACGGAGGACTTGTCTTATCAGTCGAATCTCTATCCATAGACAGAACCCTGACTGAGACGGAGGACTTGGACGGACTGGTATTTACCGGTGTTTTTCTTTTCAGTCGAAGATCTATCCATAGACAGAACCCTGATTGATTCACTCTACGCCCGAAGACGGAGGACTTGTCTTATCACGAGCCTGGAACTGACTGAGACGGACTGGTATTTACCGGTCGCCACACTGCGGACTAGTGTCACACAAGATCAAGCTTTATGTGGGGAACCTGATCGTTTTCACTCAAGCCACTGGTCAAAATGTATTCGGCCTCCGCAAAAGCCGGCTCAGGTACAGTACTTGTCTGTTTTTCTCAGCCGAGTCTTTATCCTAGGACAGAGCTCCGACTGCATCACCCTTTACCTGAAGACAGATCTCTTGTCAGTAGAAAGCCTGACAGCGAACTGCCTGACCCCAACTTGTCTGTTTTTGTCTCGGCCGAATCTCCGAAAACAGAGACTGAGGCATCCTCCGCCCGAAGACGGAGGCCCTCTCACCCTACGCCCTAAGAGAGAGAGAGAGAGGGGGGGGAGAGAGAGAGAGAGAGAGAGAGAGGTCCCGTTCCGTCGCGAGCCGGTGACTGACTACGAAGAACTGATATTTA